TTCGCTCTCTCACTGTGTCTCTCTCTGTCAAATAAATAAATAAAATCTTTAAAAAAAAAAAATGTTCGCAATAGAAAGTACACATGGTAATTTCATTTCCCCATATTCAGAATAGCAATGGAAGGAAAAGGGACTGGGGCATCTCTAGAATTCTCAGCAGTTCTCAAGATTCTGTTACCGTAATTGTAGCAAAACCCACTAACAGGTATAGTTTATCAGAAAATTTCTCAAAGAGAGCCCTCAGCCTCCTTATCTTGGTTACCTTCTTCTAACCTTCCTCTTCAACCTGACAAAGGACAGATAAACACCTACTTACAATGTCAGTTTGTCTACAGACACGGCATGTGCATGCCTGAGAAGAAGCCTATCCTGAAATGAAAGTCAGCTATCTGATGTATAAACTGATGTCTTAGTCTCTAAAGCCTGACTCACTCCTGCTAAAAATTATTTGGTTCCATAAGCCTTATGGATTCATGTCTTTCAAAAGGTGCTCCAACTACAAATCTTAAAACCTCTCCTATAAGAGGGATAAAGTGTACTAATTGCTTCAGGGAATACAAAAATATATTAAGCAGAATCCTTGCCTTCAAGAAAATTCTCTGTCTCCCCTGCTAGAGCATGAAGTCCAAGAAGGCACGGACTTTCTCAGTCTTGTTCATCACGACATCACCAGCACCTAGAACAGTACTTGGTGCACAGAAAGTGACTGAAATATTTGTCAAGAAGTGAATGAACCAATGGCCACAAAAACAAAGACAATATGCTTTGAGCAATAAGAGAATACGGCATATTTGACTGGGACCAGTCTAAGGCCAACAGAAACTAAAAGGATGACAAGATTAGGGCCAGAGAAGGCAGGAGAAATGATAATTAGGCCATCCTACAAGGAAGGATTTAGGAGGACAAGGAGAAGGGGAACAGGCCTGGCTAAGGCCACAGACGGGGCAGACTAGATGTGTCCAGAAAGTGCAGAGGCTCAGGTGGCCACAGGAGAGGGCCATGGGAGAAGGTGTGTGTTGGGGAAGCAGAGGAGCTAGATTGAATGAGGAGAGTGAAGGAAGTGAGGGCAGGCTGCAGAAGGTCTAGAAAAATCAGCAACAGGATTCCACCTGGTTGAGATTTACACCTTTAAAATCATTTTTCATACCCCCAGTTTAACCTTTAGAAGAAAATGAGCCTCTGAAAAGATATAAATCTTTTTTTTTGTAGTTTTTAATTTTATTATATTATGTTAGTCACCATACAATACATCATTGGTTTTTGATGTAGTGATCCACGATCCATTGTTTTCATGTAACACCCAGTGCTCCATGCAGTACGTGCCCTCCTTAATACCCATCACCGGGCTAACCAATCCGAAAAGATATAAATCTTAAAAAGCAGTAGGGCAATGGGGCCAATAGCCAGTCCTGGGGGCCCACATAAAGGTGAAATTTGGGTTATAAAGAAGTCTTTAATATTATAATAAGTTCCATAGTTTACTAAAATTAATGGTTTATCAAAGAATAATAAAAGTCCCGGGCCTAAATTCACTAGCAATTTTCACACAAAGATAAACTCTTTTCTTAGGCAGAAACTTACTTTTAATATCACAGCAGGGTATATTTGATAGGTTTTTAAAAAAAATTGTAACTGTTAACTAATATTAACCGGAGAATGACGCCATTCACTAATTCTGGAACACCTAGAAACATGTAGACGTCAAAAGCTCCAAATGCTTCTTTATTAGACAGTCACAGGTTTGAAGACAGCTTCAGATAAACCTAACTATTGAGAAGCCGTAAATATCCTTGCTCTTTCAACCACTCTCTAGCTATATTTAGCAGCACGATTTCCTTTGTTCAAGAGCTACTCTCGATAACTCTGTATTTATGCTCCCCAAGACAGAACACCTTGGACCTGTTAGGTAAATGAATGGATAGCTGCATGGATGGACAAACAAATGAACCATCAAATGACTGTATTAAGATCTGTGAGACAAAATGGATATGATGCTTCGTCTATGTATGTCCTAGATCTTTCTTGGTCAGGGCTAAAGCTTCCAGGCCTCCACAAACATGTCTGTCACACAAAGCAACAACTGGGATAGGAGTGCCTGGGTGGCTCAGTTGTTAAGCATCTGCCTTCGGCTCAGGTCATGATCCCGGGGTCCTGGGATCGAGTGCCGCGTCGGGCTCCCTGCTCCACGGGAAGCCTGCTTCTCCCTCTCCCACCCCCCCTGCTTGTGTTCCCTCTCTCGCTGTCTCTGTCAAATAAATAAATAAAATCTTTAAAAAATAAAAAAAACCCCAATAGATGGGGATTAAAATGGAACAGAGGGAGTAAGAAAGTTTTGTTCTTAAAGGAGGAGTGTTTTTCTAGGCAAGGGCTGTGGTGAAGAGGGGAGCAGGGGTGGACTCCCTATGGAGCTGCTGAAGCTTACGTGTTCAGGTCCCTCACTTGCACAGATTCCTTCCAAGGCCCACCAGGAGCCCAAGTCATTGTTCACATGGTCAAATGCTTCCAAAGAATTTGCCCAAGTAAGGTATAATCAAATCCATTCTCCTCACGAGGGCCCTCAACATGTTTCAGGCCCCACGCAGCCTGGGTCCACCCTGGCTGAGAGGCAGGAGTGCAGGTTGTCGCTGAGCGAGCACCCTGTCACAGCCTCGGGAAAGGGAACCTGGGGGCAGTTCACATTCCTGGGTGGTTTCTTGTTCCTTTTTAAAAGCCACCATTTCCTAAGCCCAGAGTTCTCAATACCATGATACTCGTTCTGCTGCTACATCGTAATGAAGTCACAGGAGACATTCAGCTGTTCCAAACTTCATGTCAAGCTTTGAAGTGCTTTTTAATAGCAGAAATATTTGGCTCACAGGTGGGCTTTGTAGCTATGGTAAATACCTCTCAGTTATCTGTCGCTACCGTTATTCCACACCTCCAATTTGGAGGAGAAATTCTGCATATGCACTGAGGCACTAAAAAAGAAGAGTGAACTATATCTTAGTTCTTTTGTGAACAGTTTCCTTTTATTTCTTCTTGCATGGAACTAATGTGCTCATCATATTGTACTGGTTATGGGTGGGAAAGCAGTGGAGAGAAGGGAAATGCTGATTATTACATCACTGGTTGGCAGTTCCTCTTAGCTTCTGGAAGGTTAAGTGGTCAAGTAGCTTCTTCATATGAGATCAAGGCATTTCAAGGACTGCCTCATCCCCTGGTTTTCTGGCAAAGTGCTTTAGTAGACTTTGGACAAAATGCTTACAGTGGTTAAAAGAGAAAAAACTGACCACAATTAATATGAGATAAAGAAAAAATAAAACAAACCCCTCATCTTGGAGGTTCCTAAATGACTATTGACACACAGACTATATGTCCACGTACATACCAGAACAATATAGTTAGAGCATTTCTGAGAACAGATAGAGACAAAGGCCATTTTCGATACATCCTGTGTTGAATAATGACATTTTGCTTCTTTGTGTAACTTAATTATTTTATGAAGAGATGACAGAAAATACTGTGCATTCCCTAAGTTAAACACCTGACATTTTTTATTCTTCAAAATGGAACATTTTCAAAATCTAGGTATGTTTATTAATTAGTGATTATTAACACCCAGTAAACAACATTATGTCTTGTAAAAACACAATCTCTCTTCACAGCATGATGCTGAATCTATTATTCCCTGATTCCATATGCTGAAATACACTCAAATGGTCACAAATGACCTTAAGCATTAAATAAATGTAAATGAGGACAACATAGAAAATGTGCTTTTGATTGATAACTAAAAGACCAGGTTGAAAATCACATCCCAAAATGAAGTCCTCCCCAGAAGGGTATGGCAGTCCTCACTGTGGTGTAAAGGCCTCCCTAAGAATGAAGAGGACACAGGTAGCAGATGGTTCTTTTCTCCTGACCTGCCCGAGGCTTTCTGGGAAACGAAACTGGTTTGTTAATAAATGAGAAACACAGGGCATCCCACCCCCTGTGCCACCAGCTTATGCTGACATTCTACTGCAGGATTTTAAAACACATATATGGCCACTTCCTTACCTTCACTAGCTGACATCAGAGAAAAATAATTACTGCTATTCCATGGCCTCAGCCCAATAAGTTTACCACTGGAGGTTTTTTAAGTGTTGTTGCTGTTAATTCATCTTTTTTTTTTATCCCCAAACTGAGTAGTTGGGGTGGGAAATCATCTTCAACACAGAAAAAACTCAAAATATCAAAGGATGACAGATTAGCAGTAATAAATAAATAAAATAACCAGTTAAAAATTAGATTGTTCTTCTAATGTCTGGGGTTCAACATATAAATGAAAAATGCACAAATACAGATATTTCATGTGAAAAGTACGAAATGATTCCTCGCTCTTCTAGGTCCTATCATCAGGGCAAAAGAAAATGTAGCATCACCGAAAACACCATTGTTTTGGTTGAGGGTAAGCATTTGTCCAAGTTTGAATAAGAATGAACAGAATCTAAAAGGGAATGGATACTAGACTATTTCAAAACCATGAAGAGAGCAGGGTTTCTCAATCTTGGCACTACTGACATTTTGGGCCAGATAGTTCTTTGTCGTGGGCACTGTCTTGTGCATTGCAGGAGGGTGGCCTCTGTCTACTAGATGCCACTAGCAATCCTCTCCCCCTGAGTCAGGATAATGAAAGAGAACCTGGGGGCAACACTGCCCCCAGGTTGAGAACCAGAGGAATAGAGTCTTCATAAGGAGGTCCCAGGAAGGCTTATTTCAGCCTCAGACTGTATACTCTCAATCCTGAAATCATTCCCAACCCAGGGTTCAATATACTTCAGTTTTCCTCATTGACCAAAGATAATGAAAATGCCTGCCTGCCTCCTTATGGATTCTTCTGAACATTAAATAAGGTATTTTTAAAGTGCTTAGAACAGTGCCTGACCCACAGTAAGTGCTCAGTAAATATTAGCTATTATTATCCTTAATTATCATCCATAGAGAAAACCAGAATGTTTTAATGCAGGAAGGTTTCTTACCAGCTTGATATTTTCCCAGCTTTAAACGCACCAGCCTTCTGATTCCTTGTGATGATGTCTCTCACGTCTACAGGACACAGTTAAGAAAGCTTCTGCAGTGACTGTCAACTGACTCCAAAAAAAAAAAAAAAGCTCCACAAACACAGTGATCTTCTTACTGTACATGGGATCAGCTCAGTGAAAAGAGAAGAGTTGTAGGGTGTGAGGCAGGAGAAGAAGGGTCTAGACCTGGCTCTACCACCAAATGTTGAATTGCTTGCCACAGGCAAGCTCTTTTAATTCCCTGGGCTGCAGTTTTGTCACCTGCGTACGAAATGTACATTCAGGGAGCATGCTGGCAAGGCTCAGGGTTATGGGCGCTGGTGGGGGTAGATGACTATCGTATAGCTGCTATGCCCTGCTTGCTTAAAAGAGCTACCAGCCCAAAGGCAAGCCTCTTTCAGTCAGTGGGAAAAGGACCTGTACCAAGAAAAGCCATATTTCCGGAGGAGAGGTGTTGAAGAGCTGGTCCATTACATCACAGAGTGCCATCTTGATGCAGGTCCGTGGGAAAAATCATATCAAGTTCCAACACTGGGCAAAGGTAGGTTTGAGATCATCCCCTTTTGCTTCAGCTTCTGGACACTAAATCTTACAACTGTTTTTGTTTCTCTTCTTGCTCTGGTCTCTTTGCAACCCATAGCCAAATGGATGACCTAACTCTATCAACCACCAGAGCTCTCCTGGCATATACTTTCTGTACTGACCTCTCATCCTGGCTTCATCGTATTGTCCTGGCTTTCTGATTCAAATTGGCCTCACTTTCTCATTTATTTTATATGGCATATCCTATGTGTCACTGTAAAAAGCCGCAAAGTTCCTCTTTCAGAATAAAGCAGGTTTAAATAAACAAGAAATATAATAATTCCAGTGAAGGCTGCAAGCTGAAATAAATTGGGCCCATGGGGAGGACACCAAGCAGATGAGCGATGTTCCCCTATTGCTCAGAAAAACAGATTTCCTGAATGCTCAGAACAAGCATTGGCCAAGGTCTCCCTGCAAGAACAGAGCCACAGGACTTTTTAACCCAAATCTCTGCTTGAAACATCAGGCACACCCATTTCTTCTCTGAGTGAATAAGCAGGTACTGTGATAGCTTTCTCCCCCCCAGGACTGGGTAGGAAAAATCAATTAGGTCTCCTAATGAAGGGCTTTGTGGAGGTTTACAAAAGTGCTATAATGCAGACTTCTTTTTTTTCTGGGTGAACTTTCCTGTATGCAAATTAAATACCGTTAAATTACATTCATTAAAAAAATAAAAGAGACTAATTTGCCTACTTGTTTTGATTAACTAAAATGACACATCGGCCTACAGTTCTGTCTATTTCAGGAAGAAAGTATTTCAGGAAAGTCTTCTAAATGAAATGTCTTGTAGAAAAGGACAGCTGACATCTTTATTCCGAGAAGAACAAAATTAGTGAAGAGTCAACTGACAACTGCTTTTTGGTTGAGCTCCGCCCCGCTCCGGCCACACCCTACTCCACGTTTCTATGACATCCAACCGTACGCGGCAATATGCCCGGTACACCTGTAGCGTCGTGTGAGTACATGACTAATCTATCAAGCAAAACATATTATTTTGTTAGTGGAGGTAATACTTTTTATAAAATAGTCACAGGGAAGTTAAATTATATAACTCTGAAAACCTGTTACTAATTTTTAGTAAACATCTTAACGCTATATGCTTTTATACAATTTATAAACCCATGACTCCAGGTGGTCAGGTTGAAGCAAGTGTATGTATTTATATTCTAGAGGTGCTTTTTTTTTTAAGGAAAAAATTCACAGCAGTATTTAGGCTGCTTTATTTTTAGAGCTGGGAAGGAAATATATTTTATGGTTTAGGAGGTGTTTTTATATTAAAACAAGCACAAAGAGAAAAAAGAAATGGCAAGAGCATATTAAAATAGCTTAAGAGATATATTCTGATATTCTGCTCCCCCACCCTTCACTTTAGGTCTGGCTGGCACTGTGTCTAATCATACATTTTGTCATTTTTCTGTGTCACCTTAGAGTGATAAAGGACATCCAATCAAATCAATACGTCCAGGATAGTGTTCAACAGGGTGGACCAAATCCTGTTCCCTGTACTGTACCCATCTTCTGGAAGTCTTCAGTGGGAGGTGCTGGATGCAAAGAAAGCTTTCATGTGATTTCTGATTAACTGGATACTGAACAATCACCTCCAGTCTCCTTGTCTGGGCTACAGGATCAATGCCTGTGGCTAGAAGAAACCACGTTTCTACATCTAGGTTTTCTTCCACCAAAAAAGCATAGTTCAGGAGTGGGGCTCCCTTTTAATTTTAGTTCAGTTGAGTTTTATTCTTAAAATACATATTTTTTGCATAATAACAAGTTACTTAAACAAGTAACTTTAACTTTACGTATCTAAATATAATTAATTACATATAAAATACTATTTAAAATATTAGCCTCCTCCTACAATTAGTGATTGTTATATTTATCAGTAGTCGCATCTACATTTTGGGACTTGGCATTGTTCTTTAAGAAAAAAGTTATTTTTAAAATAATAACACTGTGATCCACAAAGCATTACTTTCTCAGCGTATGTTACCTTTATTTTCACTGGACCATCCAAGGTGAGGGTAGGAAACCATGAAATTATAATATAAATCATGTTCATTTTGATCTCTAAAGGATTTTTAAAATGCTGGATGTGGCAATATTTGCCAATTTAAAGGCTGCAAAATATTCTTAAATGTGCTTGTTATCAAAGGAATTGAGAGGATGAACTCTGTTAGCAATGTCAACTGTTATGTTTTTGGATGAGAGGCCTTTTCTTCCTGAGGGTCCTGAGGAAACTGTAAGATGAACACTCACCAAACCATTCTAGGTTTTGGTGAAACAGAATGGTTTAATGGGGGGAAATAAAAAAGCTTTGAAGTCAAATGAACCTGGCTGGCTTCTAAGCTGATTCTGCTACTTAGTAGCTGTGTGAACTTGGGTAAATTAGCCTCTCTGAGCTCCATCTCAAAAACAGGAATAATGATCCCTATTTTATAGGCTTAATGGAGTACCACATAGGATGAGCCTGACCATATAGGTGCCTAATTCATGCCAATTCATTATCTTTTTCAATAATTCGGGCAAAAGCTTCAGAGGGATGAAGAGGCTGGTGAGTAACTAAAAAGAGGTTTGGCAGTCAAGCTTTATTTTCTCTCCCTGCTCCTCAGAACTAATTATGTGAACATTTATATTGTAGAATTTAAATAACTGGAAGGAATCAAAGAACTTCTGCCCCGTGGATTTTCAGTGTCTTTCACATGTATAAATGTGCTCTGGCCAAGGCATAGTCTGTGTCCCACAAGAACAGGGACTTGGTTCGTCTTGTCCACTGCTGTCTTTAGCGCCTGAGATGGCATGCAATTAACGGTGGTTGGATTAATTTTAATTAATTAGTTAGATTAACTTATTACTTAATTTAAATTGAATTTTCAAAGCTATTTATTGAGCTCCTACCCAATGTGAGGCACACAGAGTCCATTAATGACTCCATTAGCAAATAGAAGTGCAGCTGGTACAGATACTGGAGAAACACAGGATGATGGCCAAGCACTGCCAAGGTCTCCACCATCCACAGCACAGGCTGCACAGTCTAGAGGGAGCTTAATGTATTAGTTACTCAAGTCAGAGATGCTGTTAATAAATAAGGTAATGATAAGCCAGGGCTATCTCCTTAAAAATGCTCAGGAGATTCACCAAGTTGGGATGAATCCTAAGCTCGAGATCATGATCCAGACCGTGCATGCCGTGGGAATAAGATGCTTGGATCAGGAGCACGAGAAATGGGTCACCAAGCACTGCCACAGTCTGCAGATAACATGCTTGATGCTTCCTAAGGATGGGTCAAGGCAGGGTGCTTAGTGAGTGTACCAGAGAGGGCTGCTCACCTCTAGGTGTTGTACTTTTATTCATCATGATTTGGAAGAGGCTCAGCATCAATAATAACTCAGTACACTGTTTCTTCCCTCTGTTCTTATGTCATTGTCATCAGCAGCTACGAATTTTAGTGAGTTATTATTATCTATAGGCACTTGGAGATTTCTTCCTTTATTACACCAAAAGGGCTGTGCCAAAGAAAAGGGAACACATTTCAAACTACCTTCGGTGAAGTTGAGAACTGGATGAACCAAATGATGCCATTTCTAATTTATCCTTTGTTCTCTTTGGGTACAGATAAAATGGCATCTGTAAAGAGGGGCAGCTCTCGGGTAAGGGGGGCCCTGGGTTAGACCCAGCAATGCAGTTTAAGGACCAAGGAGAACCTCAGGGACATGTACCCATGAGTCTGAGAAAATATTTAGGACTTACATCATTCACTTACACCTCAAGTCTTAATCTCTTTTCAGATATCTCTGTTTAATAGATCTCAAATCAACATCTAGCTTTCTAGGGTCAAGGGAGAGAGCTCTGGAAGACATAGCCAATCCATCTGATACATCTTAGGGAAGATTATAAATAACCTCACAACTGGTTGATAGGCTTTTATGATATAAACATTCAGAACTCATCCATTCATTACCTTACATATTTAAAAAATAGAAACAATTGAAGATAAAAAGGAAGCATCAAAAAATGCTATTTTTTTTAAAAAAGGTAAAAATCAGAACCTTAGAAGCTTAAGAGACTAGGAAGTTAAGATTCAGTCGGATTCATTAAGTTCGGATGCGAAGAAAAACAAAAATAATTTTTAAAATGATGAAAATAATATACAGGCCAACACTCAGATGTGATGTGGGATTGCCAGGTCGATTTTCAATTACATTTCACTGATGTATTCATTTGTTTCTTAATGTGCTCATCTTGCCCATTAAGAATAATTAGCAGCTTTGCTTAGAGATTTTCTGGTTTCTGGCAATGTTTTTCCCTTTTTTTTGTTGACATCCACTTTTACTTTTTAGAAAGTAATTTTTGGATAATATCCTACAACTGCTATATAATTTAGGCTTCCTAAAATTTTAAAGGAAAGATGTAAACAGTAATTTTTAAATGAATTTGTTTCAATCTATATGCATCAACAGTATGTGAGTCAGTGAATTAGTTATTCCTACAGAAAGTGGGCACACAAATACAAAAAAAAATTTCATTCATATTAACCTCACTCAGCACAACAGCTTTACAACGAATGCCAATTGTAAGCTCTGTTAGTAAATCAAGAATAATACAGTATTAAAAGCAGGAAAAACACATTGCCAATTTTTAAGGCTTTAGGCATGCTTTTTTTTCTCTTAATTAAAAAAAATCAGATCTAGTTACAAAAGAAAAAAGCCCACAAACATGGAACAACTACATGATAAAAACTGAACTCCATCAGGAAAGTCCTAAGAGATGAAATAAAACACACTGCCGGTTTTGGTCTGCATCCTGAAAGGACCTACTTTATCTACATTGTAAAGTTCTTCCCCTCCTGCCCTTTGGCACCCCGCTATATTAAACCCATTGTAAAACCCAGCACAATAAAGCACTCTCAGGGCTGAGCTTCTGAGGACCAAATGTTAAAAATCCATTTTCTTGGGAGGGGGCTGTACCAATCATTTCTTTGAAAGGCCAGCAGAGTGAATACAGAATCTGAGATTTCCTCTCTGATTTCAAGAGCTGGCATGGCATCTTTGCTGTTTAAAGCAAAGGTGTGCTAATTAATGACATTAGCATTGCTTCCCTTCTCTGGAAGCACTGTACTTTAGCTCAATAATAATTTTAGTACAATTAAATTTACATACTGACTACCGATGTTCCTATAGTTTGATAAAAGTTGTAATTTGTTTCTGCCGCTATTAAATGAGACACCTGCTGACTTGAGAAAAACCTCAGGTTGTGGGCCCAGTCTGAAAGTTTCTGTGGCTAAAATGGCCCTCTCCTGTCCAATAATCCTCCTTCCTTCCTTTGCCCCCCCTCAAAAAAAACCCATCCACTGGGGCTGAGCCAGCATACCTGCCTTCCTCTCACTCTCTATGCTCCCTGACATGCGGAGGAGGAACACAGTGAAATGATACAGTGCAAGGCATAACTCAGAATAAAGCAGAGTGAATGAAACAACATCGGCTCATCTTCGGGAATATTTTGAGAAATCTGCGACAGTCTGAAGATCATTAAAATCCTGCATCTTAAAAAAGGAAGCACCTTTTGTGATCTCTTTCCCTTGTGTGAAAGGCCAGGATTGTGATTGGCTGTTTTTCCTTCCTGAATTTTTTTTTTTTTAAAGTCTGTCAGGCAATTAGCTGGGTGGGGCTCTGTAGAGCATACAAGCGCTGCTGAACAATATTAGCTACTGTGCTTCTTGTACCTCCTTTCTCCTATTTGAGCAGCCTGATAGAGCTGCTGCAAATTTTATTTTTTAAAAGATCATACAGCAAAGGTAGAAAAAGAAAATCGAAAATGGGCTTTCTGTAAGAAGCCGCAAAAGTCGAAACTGCTTTGGCATTTTAGGGGGCTAAGATGCAAATAAGTGGATTGCCTACTTCATAATGTAAATGTAAGGCATACCAAAAATCCAAAGCAAATATATCTTCCACTTCTCCTCTCAATTTCTAACGGCTGTTAACTGCGCCTGAACAAATCAGCTCGATTGCTAAAGTAGCCACAAATTATGCTTGCTTTCTCAGTTAAAGTACAGTTCAATTTTCATGAACTCTGTGTACATATTAGTAAAGCATAATCTAATATAATGAGCATGGAACTGTAATAGCATAGCAGAAAAAAAAAGAGAGTGCTTTTATAATCCTAAATAAAAGGAAATAATGAAAAACTGATAGCTGTTTCCAATGGGGAGCTATAGGTAACCTCTCGGCAATTAGAGAAGATCCCATCCTACCTAGCACATACCCACAAGATCAAACCCAAGGAAGGTCATAATGAACATGAAGCTGGAAGTTAGTTTTTATAAGCAATAGTGGATATAATAAATATTCAATCATTTACTTTATACCAGGAAATTTCAGTGACAATAAAAGGACAAGAATGCCTGGAAATTATTCTGAAACAAATGTTTTTACTGCCTTGAGTGGTCCACAAATCATGGGCTCCTTTCACAAGAAGTGACTGTAAAAAAAATCTATCGAAATGAAAGAAAAAAACAGTCATCGCCAATGAATTCCATATATTTCTACTTTTTCTTAATTACTTATCATGTGTGTGGGGGGGATTCTTTTTTAATACCCCATGCTGTCTTTCTTTATATCAATTGTTACTCAGCCGGGAAAAAGGAATGAGCACAACAAACCCGTTTTCTATCTGAATAAGGATACTTCTGATGGCCTTTTCATTCCCATCAGTTAACAGAACTTCTTTGACATCTGCAGAAATAGCAACCTGAAAAAAAAAAAAAGGAGCACAGCAAACAATGAGCAAATATGCTTGTCTGTGTGGAAGTGAAGACAGGAGTGACAAGCCTTCAGTATCATGCTTCCTCACCTATTTCTCTGTAACAATCTTCAATCTTTTTTCATTTTATGTCTGCATTATTTTAATCATTCAATCAAATCAGTCAATACTTTTATCATTCCATTTGCGGGAGCCTCTATCTTGCTATCATTCTGTTCGGTAATTGCATTGTGACAGCGGATGATGGTATTCTGAGAGGCTTTCATTTGTGGGCTTCTGTTTATCTAGTAGAGCCATCATACAAGGCTGTCACTCTGCCTTTCAGCTTGCTTCTGTCTGACTGCCTGATGCCCTTCATATAACTTTGCATTGCAGGCAGATGGCTTTGTGAGGGTAATTTTTTTGTGAGCTTTGACATGCTCGCACATTGGGCTGTAACCTCGACACATTGTGTAAGAGCGACAGGTTTGTCAAATGCCAATCAGTGTAACAATATGCTTTTATTTGTAGAGACATAAAAACTTGTCTAATGCACTGTGCTGCTACATAATATCTCCTGAATACATGACTCAGAACCCAGAGAATGGGGAACGACGTTCCTGAATGGCCAATCTAATTCAAAAGAATCTAATTACTGAGCGCTCTGGATCATGTTTGTTGGTGTAATAATGCAGGCAAAACATTAGCAGCTATATCATGGTGCTCCAACTGTGATTCGCCAGGCTATTCCTGTATCTTAGCAAATGGGACTATAATCTGAAAAAAAAAAAAAAAAAAGCTTTCGCTATGGCAAAGAAAGACCGTGCGAGGCCTGGAATGTCACAACAAGCGATATTGACTACACGGAGGTAAAATGTTTCTGCTCATCGAGGCAACCATAAAATCAATATGATCCGAAAGTAAGTCAATCTAGAAGGTCTCTCAAGACCCGGCAGCTTGACCGCAGCTGATGCTGTTGACGGTTCTCTGACCCAGCAGTTGGAGGCCCTGGAACATTTTTCCTTTTGTTCCTCCCTCTGAATGGGATTGGAATTGAGAAAAGACCTACCATGAGCCCAGCCAAGCATGTCATGCCACCCCCTAGCTCACACACAGCAAGGTCCCTGAAAGAGAGAAAAGAAATGGTAGAACCCATACAAATTAGATGAAAATGGTCAGAGAGATATATATGTTACAAGAACAAATTGCCATCTGCAGTAAGAACGGCGCTACCAGGAAGTTGTAGAGACAGGACTAGGCTACCTCATGTTGCTTTGCGTTTTAAAAATAATTATGAAATAGAAAAGTCACAAAGCAGGCAAATCAGTGGGGGTTCCCTCATTAGTGTTCACTGCAACATTACCACCGCTGAGCTGAAAAATCTGAGAAGGTTCCCTTTTTTTCCCTTGTCAATGGCGCTGTCTTTTAGAACTAAACTAGCTAGAGTAGCGAAAGATAATTGTTAGGAAAGGGTAACACTGTTAATCCACATTCATTCCTTCAAAAACAGTTAGACAAGTAAATGAAGAACATATATGAGTGTGTATATACCTATATTATAGTCACATACACACAACACACACACACACACACACACACACAAATAAATGCAATCTTGAATTTTGTGGAAAAAAAAAAATTGAAACCAAACTGAAACATTTTGGAAAGCTGAACTGCCCCCATAAAGAACAATTACACAAAAAGCATTTAGCAATTAACACTTAAATCACAATTGACCCCAACACAACACAGTGAATAAACAATGCAGGGACATAATATGGTTAAGCCAGCAAACCGAGGCTAAAGTAATGACTGGGCTCTGACTTCACTGCTCAAAAGTAAAGCGGCTCAGAGTTAAAGCTGACAGCCTAGTGTGGCACTCCGCACTCACCTTCCCCTTTGTGCCTAAATATCAGCCCTCAACGTGTGACATTCTTACCCTGGCCCACTGCTCGATGATTGGAGCTCCAGTCAAGCTTAAGCACAGGGAGAAGAGCAAATGCCAGGCTCCCAGAGCAGCTCTGCAGCCCAAATTCAATACTGCCCTGTGCTCATTTTATATGCTTAAACCCTTAAGAGTGTTCCTTCTTCCCAGGTTGGGAAGTTTATCACCTCAACAGGAGAAAAGAAAAAGAGAGAAGGAGAGAACTGAAAGGGAAGGAGGGGTGCAAAGAGAGGGAAGAGACGGAGAAGCCAAGAAAGAACATTCATATTCCGAAATACACTTAATGAGTATTTAGTTGTTCAAAGCAATTATAGACTGGTTGGTAAATATGGACCCACAGAGCTTCAAAAAATACATATTATTGACCCAATCTTGTAAGTACATATTGTTAAAACACACACACCATGATCACTAATGACTTGTCTGGAATCATAATGGGCTATTCAGGAAGCATATGTTGGGTGACTTTTATAAAATGAGAATTAAAAATGAAAAACCTGTATTTTCTGGATCTACCAAACATCTTTAGAATTTTAAATAAAAGGAGGGTTTTTTTTTTCTTTTTCCAAAATCCCATCCATGGGTTTGATCTGTAATTGCACACTGACAGTTGAAAACCTTTATTTCCGTAGCATGAATCTGTAATAGTGATTTATATTTTACAAATACATATTGTTAGGTCTATAAAATACCTTTGAAACCAGGGGTGGGATGGCATCTTTAAATAATTGCTGTGGGGTATTTATTTATCAAATATTCTGTAGTGATTTCCCTAGCAGAAGTTTAAAGAATGTCTTTATTGTGGTTTGTTTTTTTCTTTTTTTTTGACCCTCACAATCAGTAAGGATTGATTGGAGCTTCACTTTTGTTTCCCCAAAATCAAAGTGAAATAAAATGCCTTGAGTGGAAATCAAAAGCCTTTGACATATAGCAAAAAGCTTGCTGTGCAGTATTAGTACCCAAAGGCAATTCAGATTTCTTTTCAGAAGCAACATGTTTTCACCATGAACTTTTTTCCTTCTTTTCTTCCTTCTTTCTTTCCTCCCTCTCTCCCTCCCTTCCTTTTCTTTCTTTCTTATATTTTTTTAAACAACTTAATTTGAAGAATGTCATCACAGCAATCTTTAACATGCAGATACAGTACCCATAATGGCTAAAAAATATCTTTTTAAGTGCAGCTTTGTACCTGAATACATTACTGTGCTTGAGGCAGTAGTAAGCCAAAACCTCTTCAGATGGCCAGATGCCTGGAAAACACAAGAGGATACACTTTTTGATTATAGGAGTCTGTTCTACAATCATTCTCTGTAGTCATTCTCTTAAGAAATGGCTTTTAAAAATAATGTTCAGTACAAGCTGTTTCAACTTGAATCAAACTTAACATAATTATTACTTGTAATATGTCATATCAAATGAGTCTCTTTTGTTGTTGATGATAGCTCTCTTCCCAGAAAAACAGTAAAATATCCCAAATAAATTTTCCTAAATTTCTATTACAAGACAGCAAAAACAGTAACAACCAAAATTACAAATACTAAAAGTTCAATTTTAATGGTATTTCAGGTAGCTGATCTTGTACACATGAACCTTCTTTTCAGCCAATTCATAAGCATCAGTTGAAGACCTAATGTATACGCAGCCCATGTGAGGCAAAAATAAATGGAAAAACACTTGCAAGGAGCAAAGAAAACAACCGAGGTCATTATGCCTTTCTCTTTGATTTCATCCTAATGTTTTCAAATACACACAATTATTTTCTTTTTTCGATCAGAAATATCAAACTGGAGATTAAAATTAAGAAATTTAAATTTCACCAACTTTGGCACATCTTTAAATTTAACCATAACCCTCCCCAGTAAACTCCATGGATGGGCATTTTCTAAAATCATCACTTGTAAATCATTTCTTTTGAAGACTCAGTCTTCATGAATGAATAGGAATGCCTTAAAAAAAAAAAAAAAGACAAACATGCTTGGAAATGATAGTCTCTAGCAGTTATCACAAGGTGGTAGGTTGTAAGTGCTTTTGATTTTTTCTTTACACTTTTTGTATTTTCCAAAGATTTTTACAATGAATATGTATCACTCCTATGATCGGAATAAACCACAGCCTTAGACAAAACTGGGTTTTCGCCAAGGGGTCAGACTCAAAGGTCAAGCAGGGCACTAGCATCCTGCTCCGCCTGAGGTTGAGAAGGCCCCACCATCCTGGGAAAGAGCAATGAATGTTCACTGCCTTCGCACTAAACTCTCTTCTAATGGGTCTGGATGCGAAGTTGAAACACCTAATGAGACTTAATTTTTTTTTCTCCTAGACGCATCTCCAGCTTCAAAGAGTGAGAAATCCAAACATTTCAGAGAAGAGGATGTCAAAGAAATGGTAAGTAAAATCCTAATGGAATCAGTGGGTAAATAGATGAACAGCAAAGACATTGACCCAGAGAAGCATTTGCGGCAGGAAAGTCTGGACAAGTGTAAACTAGCTCAGCCTCCATGGTATTTCTGGTAGAAATGACAGTTTGGGAGAGAACAAAGTAAACCAGCAAGAAGTATTTGGAGTCATATTTAGTAAGAAAGTCAGAAAGGCAGTGGACTGTAGCAATTAAGATCACAGGAGCTTTGGAACCAGACTCTTTGGGCTCCAGTCCCAGCTTGTTGGGCTGCATTCCCTGGCTGAGTGACCTTGGATAGTTTACTTAACCTCTCTGTGCCTCAGGTTCCTCATCTGTAAAATAATGTAATTGTAGTATCAACTTCACAGAATGGTTGTCAGGATTAAATAAGTAAAATACATGAAATCTATTTAGAACAATAGTTCCTAACTCATAATGAGCTCAAAGAAAAATTAGTTGTTAATGTTATTCTCCTGCAAAAGGGGATAAAAGGGTAGAAGAGAGAATATGCAGACCCCAACAATTATCCCAAAGATGAGAACAGATGGAGAACCTTTTTGTCCTACTCCCACCCATGAACTTTACCACAACCCTGAAGTCCTAATACCTGGCATACCTCCATAGCAAAAGAACTCTGTAAAGAATAAAGTATATAATAAAAGTCTCTGAAGGAAGAGCCCAAGACAGTGTTCTACACCAAGTATATAAAATCACCAGAATAATGAATTTCTTTATGCCTTTAGTAGATGGTTTTGAGGTTTAAAAAAATAATGATAGGGGAAGGGTATTTAACTAAAATTCAAGCTTTGATTAAGTACAAAAATGTGACTTCTAAAATGCATAGTCTTTTAAGAGAGTTTTATAATTTTCTCAAAAAATTATAGAGGTTGATTTTTAACTAAATTAAATACAAAAATATGTAGAACAAAGTTAATAAAATCACCTTAAATTACACCACTAGTATATAACCCCTAGTAACATTTTGGACATCATTCCAAAAAAAAAAAGCTCTCCAAGCACAAAGATATTTTATACAAATGGGATCTTATCATGCAGGTATTTGACAATCTGATTTTGTCCCACTCAATATGTGATGAATAACTTCCCATGACAATAAAAATATACTTGCATCGTTATATATATATATATATATATTTTTTTTTAAGTAGCCTCCACACCCAGCATGGAGCCCAAGATGGGGCCCGGACTCATGACCATGAGATCAAGACCTGAGCTGAGATCAAGAGTCGGACGCTTAACCAACTAAGCCACCCAGGCGCCCCCTTGCATTATTATTTTTAATGACTGCCTGATTTTATGTCTGCATCATAATTTATTTAACCAGTGTCTTCTTGAGAGACATTCAAGTTATTTTGAGTTTTTGGTACTATGAGATTATAAACAGTGGTGCCATGAAGACACATTTTTTTTCCCCCAAAATATGATTTTTCTCTATAGGTCAAATACTCAGAAATGGGAAATCTGATCAAATGTTAAGTACCTATCACACTGTGATATATCAAACTGTACTCCAAAACATGTGTACCAAACTATACCTCCAAATAAGAGTGTTTATTTCCTCAAAGTCTTGTCAAGATGAGGTTTTGACAACCTATTTTATTTTTGCTTATCTATCATGTTTTTGAAAGTTATCTCAGTGCAAATCAACACCACAATGAGATACCACTTCACACCTTCTAGGATGGCTATAACCAAAAAGTCAGACAATAGCAAATGTTGGCGAGGATGAGGAGAAATTATGTAAAATGGTGCAGCCGCTTTGGGAAACAGTCTAGCAGTTCACCAAAAACTTAAATGTAGAATTAACATATGGCCCAATAATTCCACTCCTAGGAACATACCCAAGAGAAAAGAAAATATGTCCACACAAAAACTTGTACATGAATGTTCATAGCAGCATTATTCCTAATAGCCAAAAAGCAGAAACAACCCAAATGTCCATCAACTAATGAGCAGATAAATAAAATGTGGCATGGCCATGCAATGCACTATTATTTGGCAATAAAAAGAAATAAAGCACTGATTCAGGCTACAACATAGATGGAGCATGAAAACATTATGCTGAGTGAAAGAAGCCCAACACAAAGAACCACATGTCGCATGTTTCCACTTACATGAAATGCCCAGAATAAACAAATTCATAGAGACAGAATATATAGTGGTGGTTGTCTAGGGCTACGATGGTTGAGAGTAAACGTGGACTGACATTCCAGAGGTGATGAAATACACTAAAATGGTGGTGATGGTTGCACAACTCTGTGAATATACTAAAAATCACTGGGTGAGTCATGTAGTATGTGAATTACATCTTAATAATGCCATTGTTTAAAAAAGTTTTCTCATTTCTATTTGTGGAAATATAATGGTCTTTTTAAAAAGGATTTTATCTGTAAAGAACTTATACAGAGTTTAAAGAGGCACTGAGTTCTGTGAGAATGATTAAGACAAATGATTATGATTAAGATTAGTACCCAGCCCCTCTGACCCAGTCTTTCTCCTTTCTCAGAAACTGCTACTTCCAATTCTTTTAGTTGATGCATCTGGTAATTACTTCCATACTTCTACATATGTTTGTATTGTCACTTCTTGATTTTTCGCTTTTAGGCACAATCTATTGACCCCCACTATGGAAGATAAGCTGCTTTCACCTTCATCTATACTCCTCTCCCCATGCCACACACACCATGCTCCTTATCCACCCACCATCACCATCTTCCAATTATAGATATATTATAATTTTGGTAATATATAGTCATTGTCAATTTCATTATGACCAGGAAATAATACCGAGCCATGTAGTAAACTATGATTGCTTTTTATCTCATGTATAATCCGCCCCCCCATGGAGTTTATAATTGTCTATTTCTTTTCTCATTTGCTAAGGTTTTTTATTCAATCTCAAAATCCAGTTGTCAAATTTCCCCTCTCAGTACATTCATTCACATCAGGTATTCTATCAACCTCATGAGGAATTCTTTCCTGGTGCCTTCTGACCTGCTTTAGCCTGGACTGAATGCCCTCTATGCTTAGTGCACAGCTGATACCCTAGAATCAATCTTCGTATCATTCCAGACTCCCTTTTGTTCTTCTCCTGTATTGCATCTCTTGTTTCTTCTATCCCTTGTCTTCCTTTCTTGGTTTACTTCCTCGTTTTGGTGCAAGACATCCTCCAGTAGCTTCTTGAGAAAAAGTGTGTGGAAGGTAAATAAATGGGAACTTCCATGATTCAGTGGGTAATTTCAATCTGGAAACTCCATGTTCTTCAGATCTTGGACAGTTTCTTGGGAAGTTCCATTGCTTATTTCCTGTCCTTTTTATCTAGAACTCCTGTTATTTGGATGTTGAATCTCCTGAACTCATCCTCTTTCTTACCTTTTCTTTCCTGCTTTCTATCTCTTACTGTTTTCTACTTTCTTGGAAATTTCCTCAACTTTATCTTCCAACCCTTTTGTTGTAATTCTCATTTATGCTATTTTTAAAAAGATTTATTTACTTATTTATTTGAGAGAGAGAGCACAAATGGGTGGGAGAAGGGGCAGAGAGAGAGGGAGAAAGAGAATACACAAGCAGACTCCCCCCTGAGCATGGAACCCAACGTGGGGCTCCATCCCAGGACCCTGAGATCATGACCTGAACTAAAACCAAGAGTCACACACTTAACTGACTGAGCCACCCAGGTGCCCCACATTTATGCTATTCTTGATGGGTGTTCTCTGAATATTTCTTTTTTAGAGCGTCTATTCCTGTTTCATGAATCAATCTTTTAAAAATTATTTGAAAATATTAATTACAGTTTCTTTTAAGTTTTCTTATTCTTATATAGTCTATTTTCTT